AAACACTTAAAGAAATATTTGCCTGCACCAGGATGGTTGAGTAGTTAAGGCATTGGACTTAAGAAATGTTCAACACACTTAGTCATCAGGGAAATGAAAATGAAACAAACATTGAGACTTCATCTTACACCCATTAGAATGGTTAAGATCGATAAAATAAATGATAGCTCATGCTGGTGAGGATATGGAATAAGGAGAACACTCATCCATTGCAGGTGGGAATGCAAATTTGTACAGCCATTATATAAATCAGTGTAATGGTTTCTCAGGAAGATGAGAATCAATCTACCTCAAGATCCAGTATTCCACTCTTGGGCATGTACCCAAAGGATGCTTCGATCTGTCATAGAGACACTTGCTCAATCATGTTCATTGCTGCTCTACTCATAAAAACCAGAAATTGGAAACCACCTAGATGTCCCTCAACAGATTAATTGACAAAGGAAATGTGTATATTTATATAATAAAATGTTAGCCACCTGTTAAAAATGCACATAAATAAATGGAACCAGAAAAAAAACATCCTGAGTGAGGTATCCAGGTCTTAAAAGACAAATGTGGTACATATTCACTTATATGTAGATATTAACTTTTAAGTCAATGATAACCAAGCTACAATCTGTAGAACCACAGAGGTTAGATATAAAGTAAATGGCTTGGGGGATAGATGGATCTCCCTAGGTAAGGGACAAAAAATAAACAGTTATGGATAGATGGAGTTACAGAGGACCAGAACAAGAAGATCAGCTGAGATGAGGCAGAAGAAGCTATAAGAGATGGAATATGGGAAGAGACAGCTAAAATTAAGAGGCATTTGAGAGGCAGTATGGAAACCTAATAAAACAGAGGCTTCTTAAAATGTATACATGTATGAAGGTGATCTAAATGAAACCGCCAAACAATGGGAGAGACAAAGTCCAAATTGGATATCTCTTGTCACCAAATGAAGCTTCTAGTACCAAGAATGGTTTACATATAAATGGGTTGTTGGCCAAAGGGGTCTCTTGGGAACCCCTAAACAACCCAGGTTGTTACTAAGACTATATTTTGCCCTCCACAAATTGACAGCACAGCCCCATTGCTGGAGACAATACTGACATAACTCATCTCATCGAACATGGAGAAGTCAAGCTGGTGCCTACACAGAGCCTTCACCCCTACATTCCAGTGTCCTGGGTACAAGAAGGTACTCTGAATACTACCAAAGGGGAAGCAAACACCAACCCAGTCACAAACAACAACCCAGCTACAAACCCTTTGCTCTACAATGGTTTACTACCTGCAAGATATGCTGAGGCAATGGTGGCACAAAACTTGATGTAAACAACCAACAAGTGATTTGACTTCAGGCCCACCCCATGAGATGGAACTCATACCTGACACTGCTTGTGTGACCAAGAACCTGAGACTAGCTAGCCCAGGATCCTACGGTAAAACCAAATAATACCAGTCTTAAAGAAGGAAAAAAAAAATGTGGTGATAAAGTGATTCCCGATGTTATTGTGCTATATACTCACAGATTAGTGCCTTTCTCAGCCATCCTCAGAGAAGCTTCCTCCTGCAGCAGATGGGAACAAATACAGAGACTCACAGCCATGTATGATGCAGAGAATGAGAGGCCTTGGAACACTCAGCCCTAAATGGGATGTCTCCATCAAATCCCTCCCCTGTGGCTCAGGGAACCCTATGAAAAAGGAGAAAGAAAGATCATAAGAGCCAGAGGGGATGGAGGACACCAAGAAAACAAGGCCCTCTGGATCAACAGAACCACTGTACACATGAACTCAAAGAGACTGAGGCAGCAGGCACTGGGCCTACAAGGGTCTGTACCAGATGGAGTCCTGGAGCTGAAAGGAGAAGTGGACACACGTCCCCATCCAACAGCGAAGCTATCTCCAATTGATAAGTCTCTTGGTGAAAGCAAAATCTCCACTTGCGAGTGGTTTTCACCGGGAAAGCAAACTACTCTTAATGGTAAGCTGCATGCCCAGTGGGAAACAAGCTGAAGGGTATCCTTGAGGTTCCCGGTCTTACTTACAATGGCAGGGCTTCTTTCCCTGCATTTTCTAAAACTTTCTCTTTTATTTTTACATTGCTTTTATTTTATTTATTTTCCCTCTTTTTACCTTATACGTCCTTTGCATACATATTATGGCTTCCACTTTAGTGTTTTTATGGGATTTCTGAGTGTGTGAATGAGTGGGTCTCTAGTCCCTTATACTTATTTGTTTTGACCTATCCCAATGTGTCGACTCTTGTTTTATCTTATTTTAATTTTATGTTATTATTATTTCTTATAAGCCTGTTTGAGAGAGAGAAAGGTGGTAGATCTGGATGGGAAGGGAGGTGGGGAGGAACTGGAAAGAGCAGAGGGAGGAGGAACCATAATCAGGATTATATTACATGAGAAAAAAAATCTATTTTCAACAAAAGGGGAAAAAAGGACACCAGTGTCAATTTTGTGCTAATAAATGTAATAGCTGAGAAAAATCGATGGGTCATGATAAAGAGAAGAGGCCAGCAGCATGTGTGCTTGGAGTTTCCTGGAACCTGGCATGGCAGGGACTTAGTGGTTTTGGTGACTACCTCAACTTTTGTTTTCTTGCCACTGAAATTTTGTGTTAGTTTATGGTTTTTGTGGCAGGTTAATTTGGCCCCAAAATAACCCATTAATTCAATATTATCCCAATCAACATTCCAGAGGGTTTTTGAAGGATTCCTCAGCCTCATATACTCAGAATGAGAAGGCCCCACCATGTAGCCAAATACTTAACATTTAAAAAATTAATCAAACAAAGCTACCTTACCTTCCAGATGCTAAGGCCACCTACAGAGCTTCAGAACAAGGCAACTCCCAGTGCAGAGACACAAACGTTCCTGAGGGATAGTGGAAAGAGGTCACAAATCTGCCTGTTATTTTACAAGGAAAACACACAATAAAACAGACTTTTAAAAATAAACTATTGATAGGAAAACTCAATATATTCATAGTTGGATTCATATTTTACACCACATGAAAATGAATGACCTAGCACATAAAGAGTGAAACTTGACAGCTAATGAAAGTGAATTATGTACATCCTGTCATGGGGCTGGAAAGAGGGCTCAGTGGGTAGAGAGGCTTGTTGTGCAAAAGCAACTGAACTCAATCCTGAATCCTACATAAAGGAGGAAAGGCGAGAACTGACTCCAAAGTCGTTCTTTGACCTCCCAATGTGTGCCAAGACTCAGTGAAGACCCACAGTGACCCTAACAATACTCTTCTTTTAAAAAATCCTCTTATGGTCTAAATAAGGAGGAGGGAAATTTGAGTTTTAAAAACACAAACCATGGGGGAAAGCTGACAGATGAGAGTTAGCAGAACAGTGTCCAGAACACAGCAAGAGCTCCTGAAAAAGAGGACATACCAAGGGTATGCAGTGAAAACCAGACTCCAAATGTGTAAATGAGTGTACAGTTCATCTGTCACAAATAACCAAAATAAATGCATCACCTAACAACTATCAAAGTACAAGTGCATGTCATCCATTGATGGGAAAGTAGGAAAGGTAGCCATGGAGTATGGAATGCAAGCCAATGCAAGTCAGTGAATGGCTTTCTAGCCCTAAAACTTCTCTGACTCCGTGTTTCAGTGGAACGGAGTTCCTTCTGCCCTATTGTAATGGGCTCACATAAAGCCTGTCTGCATATCTTTAGCAAGCCTCCTTTACCTTGACCTCTACGGTGGACACAGCATCTGCAGCCATCCTGCCTACCAGCAAGGCAGCAGGCCCTCCCTGCCCTCAGCAGCCTCCCCAATCTGAGATCTTCTCACATCACACCGAGACCACGTCCCTGTGGGTCTGCACGTTCAGGCCTGAGTCTCTGCCCCATTTTATGTGTTTCTTCCTCTTTCCCAAGCCTGCTGGCCAGTACCCAGGGCTGTGCACTCCTCCAAAGCTCAGGAAGGGTTCGTCAAAATGCCCAAATGAACTGAGAAAACAAAAGCAAACAAATCTTTTCATGATGACTTATTTAGAGTCAGGCGGAATGGAGGCCGTCAGGGAGAGTTTTTATGTGTGTCACAGTGGGAATGTTCAGGTTTAAAGAGCAGGCTTCTCTTCTACGTGCTGTCCCCAGTCTCCCAAGGGCATGATTCAGCTGGGCGCAGAGAAACAAACAAATATGGAAACAGAAACATGCCGGTTCTTATAGCACATTCTTTCCAGGCCTCTGCACCCACATTCCTAGGTCCACTCCACCTTTCACATTTTCAGCCCCACTATAAATAATAATATACCAACGTGTCTGTTATAAACATAGCACAATAATAACCGAATTTGCTGGTCATTTGTCATGGGCAGGTGCCACTTTTTTGATACAGTAATCTTGTGAGGGATCTACTGTCACTCTACAGATGACATTTTTCAAATGAGAAAAGTGAGGACCTGAGAATTACATCCCACATGCAAGATGACTCAATTAATGGGTGGCAGAGCACAGGGTGGATACTGAGTTGGTCCCATGCCAAAAATCAATGCTCTTACCCGTGGTACCAAGCCTGCCCCATGATGAAGGTCAGAAGCAAACAAATGGACACCAGATCTGAAAGATGATTTCAAAAGGAGACAAGGAGTGTTCAACCGTTTAAAGGACCGGGTATCTATCATGATTTCTTCTTTATTTTATTTCATTTGCATTGCTACACTAAAATCTCACAATAAACAGTTATTGTTAAAATGGTAACAAATTCTAAAAAATGTAGGAAGAAGGTATCTATGTTGTGACCCTAGCCACCTTTCCTGATTCAACAACGTGCATTTTTCTCTCACTCTTGGCACACCCACAGAACTATCTTCCCAACTTTCTATTTTCATTCTCTTGTCTCCTGAAAAGAAACAGGAAGTCTTAAAGAAACAGGAAGTCTTGCATCAAATTATGACGGGCAGAACACTCTAAACACAGGCACATAAATAGCAGTTGCAAAGTACGTATATTTTAGGAAATGCCTCTTGAAAACATGCCCCTATATTTCTAGAATGCTAACTACACCGCACAGTGACAGAGGCAGTTAGAGCACTCTACGGGATCAGTCGTCTGTTCTTTACCGGTCCCTTGCAAATCCTGTGCCCATCTTTCTTTCTGTACCCCAAGACAAAAGTGGTTAGTGGGCCATTTCCAATTTACATAACCAGGACAGCGTGTAGAAAAATGCAGAGCACAAAATAAAAGCACATGGCACTATTGCTGCCTTCTAATATAGCTGGGAAATGACGTAAACATGCAGGTATGCACTCACACCGTGCTCCACCGCAGAAGCACAGACATGCCTCCGAACAGACTCACAGCCAGCAGCCAGCAAGTCTCAAGTCCTCTTAGATCCCTTTGGCACATTGACCTGGCCTCATTTTCATTCTGATTTATTAAGTTCCACCTAGAAGACAGGAACACACAGATGGTAGGTGTCACCCATGTGCAGGCACAAGCCCCTCAGCTGGCCATACAATAGTCAGGCAGGTACCATCTTCACTCTATAAGTGAAGAATTAGGGGGTGGGAGGAGGGAGGAGGTGGGATCTGTGGGTGGTATGTAGGGTGAGTAGAAAATTTCTTTTTTTTTTTTTTTTTTTTTTTTAGTTTTTCGAGACAGGGTTTCTCTGTGTAGCTTTGCGCCTTTCCTGGAACTCACTTGGTAGCCCAGGCTGACCTCGAACTCACAGAGATCCGCCTGGCTCTGCCTCCCGAGTGCTGGGATTAATGGCGTGCACCACCACCGCCCGGCGAGTAGAAAATTTCTTAATAAAAAAATGAAAAAAAAAAAAAGAATTAGGGGTTAGAGAAATCAAATGTCCTGAGTTACATTCTAGCAGACAACCTGGCCATGATTAGAACTTGAACTCATCTAGCCTCAAAAGGTCTGTTTTCTGTTTAATCCTGCCATCCCAACGCTTTATAAAGAACAGTGTCTAAGATATTCTGTCTCAAAATGACTGCTTCAATCTGTCCAATGGACAGGTCACACAGAGGTCAAGGGTAAAGGACAGTTTCCACTGGGTGTAAAGCTCTTCAGTTAGTGTTGATTTTGTCAGAATTCTACTTGGCCATGATTTCTACCTCACACCTGTGCCCAGCCAGATCCCAAGGAACTGGCTCTTCTCATGCTCACTATCTTGCAGGGCCTGGAAAACGGAAACAAATGGTGGCAATCCTTCTTCTGTTATCAGTACAAATGCAATAAGTGACTCGGGCTGTAAGGCCAAATCCTTCATTTACAAAATGTTTGTATTGTCTCCGAGGCACTTAGCCATGGGAGACAGCATTTTATTTATTCCTTGCAGGTTCTTTAGGCTTTCTGATTCACGATGATTAGAACTCCAAGGATGAATCAAAAGAATAAAATGCAGACACAGGACAGCAAGGCTGCAAACCAAGAGCCGCAGTACCATCCTTCACTATCTAAGACATCTGTTTGCTTTTCAGATATTAAATACCAATTACCTCCTTGACCTACATAAAGCAGAAGAATGCTAAGGAGTTTGCCAGGCACAGTAAACTAGGCTGTGGTATATTCATAAATAAAGTCATTAACAGGGCTGTTAATGAGCAGAGCGATTAAGAACTCGTAGTGCTCATACTAAGAACCCAAGTTCAAATTCCAGGGCCCACATCAGACAACTTGCAACTACCTGTAACTCCAGCTACAGAGGATCTGACGCCCTCTTCTGGCTTCTATGGGCACTGCACTTGTGCACAAATCTACAGTCTCTTCCTCCCTCTCCCCTTACACACACACATCATTTTTTAATATATTTCAAATAAAACATGTTAAAATCATTGACAAGTCACACTAAACAAACTTGGGTTGTAGTAGCACACCAAAGACAGATTTCCACAGTTTTTTGTCATTAAGTAAACAACATTTTAATAGGTACATACCACAGTTCGTCAGTGCTCCAGAAGGAAGTGGGAAACCCACATGGCTGCTCTGTCCCCACGAATCAGCAGCAGCAGGAATAGAAGGTGCTAGAAACTAGTTGGTGTTTCTGACTCTGCAGCCATACGAACTCATAATTCTCTTTTCTCCATCGCCTGGAACATATCCAGAGGATCTAAGTCAGTGTCTCAGTCAGGGTTTCTACTGCTGCAACAAAACACAACCAAAGAGCAGGTTGGGGAAGAAAACCTTTATGCTGCTTACACCTCAGCATCGCTGTTCATCACTGAAGGAAGTCAGGACAAGCACTCAAACAGGGCAGGATTCCAGAGGCAGGAGCAGATGCAGAGGCCATAAAGGGATGCTGCGTACTGGCTTACTTCCCCTGGCTTGCTCAGCCTGCTTTCTTATAGAACCCAGGACCACTAGCCCAGGGGCTGGGCCCTCCCGCTTTGATCACTAAATGAGAAAATGCCTTACAGCTGTATCTCATGGAGGCATTCCCTCAACTGAGGCTCCTTCCTCTCTGATGGCTCTAGCTTGTGTCAAGTTGACACAAAACCAGCCAGTACAGTCAGCATATACTACATATATCCCATTTCACCATAACGTTTTCATACATGTACACAAGGTAAATATGATTTCTTACCTCATATTACCCACACTTATTCTCCCACTAATTCCCACTGGTCTCTGTTCCATTTACTAATGACTAGGACCATTTCTATGTCTTCTTTTTTGTTTCATAAATGAGATCAGTTGACATTTGTCTTTTTCATCCCAGATTATTTCACTTAACACAGTGATTCTAGTTCCATTTATTTTTCTTCAAGTGGCATAGTTTTGGTCTTCTTCCTGACTGACTAGTACTCCTACCATTGTACATACATACTACACTCACCTGATGGTGGATATTAAGAGAAAAATGAGTCTAGAAATGGATAACCTATTGGTGGGGGAGGCACTTATCACTGGAGAAAACTGATTACCCCTCTTCTTACAGAGAATTCACCAGAGATGACCAGTCAGACAGTTTGTCTAAAAGAGCCACAGAGGATACGCAGAATGCAAATTTGAGCACGTAGCTTGACTTCAAGAGATGCTAACCCTGGAGGAATTTGAATTTCTACCCAGTAGCTTCTTTACACTTTTTTTTTTAGGACAGAGTCTCACTCTGTAACCCTGGCTGTCCTGGAACTTGCTCTGTAGACCAGGTTGGCCTTGAACCCGGAGAGCTACCTGCCTCCTCATCCTGAGTGCTGGGATTAAAGGCTTGCACGACTACCCTGAAAAACTGAAGTTCTGTGTCACTTAACCCTTTGGTGGAAGAGTGCTTTTCTTCTGTTTTCTGAAAGGACCAAGCAGATGCCTTAACAGGCTGCTCAGTCTTCTCTCAGAGATCAGGCCTCAATTTCAGTTTCCTGAGACTGAGCAAGCAGTTTCTGGGAGGGCCGTGAACAAAAGACATAGTCCTTGCAGTAGCTCCCTTTCTGCACGTACTCTGACTGCTCCAAGTTCAGCCAGATGTTTACTGTCTGGGACCCCTCACCAACTTAGAGTTATGTGCATGAGTCAAGGACAGAGCCTAGACCACTGAGCCAGCACCCACAGTCAGTACATGCTAGGCTAGCTAGCCCCCATGGCAGCTCAAGGACAGAGCCTGGACCACTGAGCCAGCACCCACAGTCAGTATATGCTTGGCCAGCCAGCCTCCATGGCAGCTCAAGGACAAAGCCTGGGACTTGTGCTGGACTGCCCCCAAAGTGATAATTGTAACCACCAACCAGTAAATTCAAAGGTTACATACCCTCACCCAATTAAAAGAGAACAGAGATAAAAATAAACCAATCCGAGTTGCACCCGTGGCAAACCCCCCCAACCCCCCTTAAGGGCTTGTGGTTTTTTGCCTTTAAATAGCTAGCCTCACAAAGAAAGAGCAACTCCTCCCTGCCTCACTGTATTGGGTGTAGGAATGAGTTCCCTGTTTAGACTTGTATCTACAGAATAAACGTTGCTGTTGCATTCTGGACATCTAAGGTCTTCAGTGGTCTCTTTGGGGGTCATGATCTGGGCATGACATTTTCCACGATGCCTAGGCTGATTTCACATCATGGATATTATGAATGGGGCTCTGCATAGTGCGGCAGTGGATGCGGACAGGCAGGAGGCAGGTGGTGTGCTGACTTAGATCCTTTTGGTGCATTTGCAGGATCGGTAGATCTCAAGCATTTGGTCATTCTGTTTTTTGCCTCTGAGCACTTCCGTGTTGATTTCCATGGGCCTTCACGGCTTAGGTCCCCACTGGCAATGTGTTCCAACTTTTTTCCCAGCATCCTCACCGGCATTTGAAACGTTTTCCTAATGATAGCCTTTCCGCTAGGAGTGAAGAGTTTTTATTTTCATTTCCCTGATGGCTGGGGATATCGAGCCTTTTCTTATGTATCTATCGGCATCAGTAGGTTCATCTTCTGTGAGGCAGCAGCTTGTTTCACTTGCTCTGGTTTTCTGAAACTTAGCTCCCACTCCTAATAGCTTGCCGCCACGCCTTCCTGTGTCTGGAGCTCTGATTGGTTAGCTTCCCTGATACATGCCCCTGAAAGAACTGACCTACACTTTATAACATCTGTCATTACTTTCCCGTCACGTGGAACTGAGTGTCTGACTTGGTCTTCCACTACTTAGCTAACGTCATTGAAAGAAACAGCTCTTACCTCCAAGGAATAGAAGGCATGGTTTATTATGGAACATGTATGAGTGGCTATGGCCTGGGATCATAAATTTAGGTCTCTCAAAATACAATGTTCTAAAATTTTTGGAAGCTGTTTCATGAAATGTTATAGTTTTACATAACAAAGAAAGTCATAATTACGTCAAATTTAAAATACTTTGGTGAGAATATCAGAGACTGTTTGGGAATCTGAGGATGCTTTTCAGTCAGCCTCAGACACTAGCTGATGACATTCTTAGCTTTGGGGTTGGTAAAAGTTAGTGGTCCACTAAGGTAATACACTTCAAAGGGTTTTTATCTATTCGTCACAGGATGTTAGTCCCGATACTCCTGGGCAAGGAATGGCCGTTCAGGAGGCTAAAGTGAGCCTGAGATAAGGTAAATAGCCTCTGGACCTGTAACATCCCAACCTCTCCACATCACTGAAGCTCTCAGTCAGTCATTCTCTGCAGACACAGCTGCTTTCCAGGAATTGGTTGTTGTTGTACCTTCGTTATGTGGCTGTGCTTTTGATTACTGTCAGCCAACTGCTCAGGCCGTAGCCTGGGGGAACTCTGTCCCCCCGAGACAATGGCTCTGCTGCTGCCACTAAAGGTAGTTCTAACTAAATCTCTATCATTCTAATAAAACTCGAGATTCAAAGGCTAGGGTGAAAACCTGTGAGCTCAGAGAGTTAAGAGTAGCAACTGACTTTCTGTTTTTGCTGGTGTCCCGGGAAGCCACGCCCTGCCACACCACCCCAACTGAAAAAAAAAAAAAAAAAAAAACACAGACTAAGTGCCTCCCTGTCACTTCCTGTCAACCAGTTGCTAACCCCGCCTCTCTGAGCCCAGGTTAATTTTATTTAATTAACACAAATGCAACACATCTTTATATAGTTAACAAATGCAGCATGAACAAATGTAACACATATTTGCCTGGTTAAACAAACATTTGGTCTTCACACTAACCAGTTCTCCAAGCCTGCACTCCAGAATTAGATGTGAGGCCTTGCTGTGATTCCCAGACACAAAACAATGCAAGGATGTTGACTGCTAATCCACAGAGTCAGACAGAAGTCAAGATGGTTTCCTACCTCTGTACCACAACCAGTGCTGGGAACAAGAGGGAACTCTGCCAGGGAGACAGTGGGCATCTTAGAAGACCTCAGCACCTGTGCTGCCTTAAAGCCAGTGTTCAGTTTTCTGGGTCTTCCTTCCTACCTTCCTTTCCTACTTCCTTCCTTCCTTCTTTCCTTCACTCTCTCCCTCCTTCTCTCCTCCCTCCCTCTCTCCCTCCTTTTCCTTCCATCTCAGACTCTACTCTGCCACACTGCGTCTGTACATGCTCTATTTTGGAGCATGTTCTATCCCCCCACTCTCCACTGTGTGAATCCCCCTTATGTGTTTTGTTCTTTTATAAGTACCATCTTTTCACTACTGAAGCTACAGTCTGTGCTTTGGGAGACTCACCTTCTGTGTGTCCTCAGCCCCTGCCCGCTGCCACACTGCCCCTGCTTTCTACATCCACAGACTACACCAATCTCCCTCTGTTCTCTCTCCAAGCTCTCCTGTATATGTACGCATATGAGCCTGTCTGTTTGCTACTGAAATGTAAGTTTCTTCTTGCTGTTATCCACTTAGGAAATTAGCAGTTCTCCAGCTACTTCTGTTCCACCCCCTAGAGACACGCATGATAGATGGGTATACCATGTGTACCAACTACATCACAGAACAAAAACAATATTTTATAAACATTATTGTCTCTCTTTGTGTACATCTACATAAGACTTTCACTGGTCCATGCTTATTGTGATTCTTAGTTTTTTGTCAACTTGATACAAGCTAAGGTCATCTTGGAAGAGGGAACTTTAACTGAGAAAATGCCTCCATCAGGCAGGCCCGGCAAGAGATTAATGACTGATGTGGAAAAGCCTAGCCCACTATAGTCCTGGGTTGCATAAAAAGGTAAACTGAGCAAGCCATGAGGAGCAAGCCGGCAAGCAGCACCCCTCTGCGGCTGCTGCTTCGGTTCCGACCTCCAGGCTCCTGCCTTGGCGTCCATCAACGGACAGTGGCCAGGATATGTAAGCCAAATAAGCCCTTTCCTTTCCAAGTTGTTGCATTTGGTCAGAGTGTTTCATCACAGTGATGGAAAACAAAGGAGAATGCTTTCAAATGGAATTGCCAAACTGCACATTTCATACATTTTCAAATTTGTTAGAAAATGTAAAAAATGTTTTGTAAGGTAGATGTACCAATGTGTACTCAGATGGTTGCAGCAGCTGATGAGCTCCACATGCCAATCAGCACTTGGAATCCTCGGGATTCCACATTTTTTTTTCCAATTGGAGAATGCAGAACTGACTTGCCCTGATTTCACGTGAACTTCCGTGAAGACCAGTGAGTGATGGTTGTCTTCGTCCACTCATGCTTCTTTCCCTGTGACTTATTCATATATTTTCTCATCTTCCCACATTTCTGGTCTTTGGCTTATAGGTTTGAAGGATTTTGTGCTTTGAAAATAAACTCTGAGTAACAAGCATTTACCAACTGCATGCCTTTTAGATACCTCCCAACGTTTGTTTAGGCAGGCACCTTTTTGCATGAAAATGCTCAATTTGGTCTAC